CAACTGCCTTAGCCACTATGCTACCAGAGCTCCCTTTCAAAGCATAGTGACCAGAAAAAAAAAATTTGAAAATACATCAACACTCAGATACACACACAACCATAATGAAGAGAAATGTTACATGTCTGAACATTAATAATAGAATTGCTAGTAGCTTTTCTGGATACGTTGTACTATGCTAAATAAGTCAATTGTGACAATTGGAACAAATCCATAGAATACAACTATATTGTCTGGGTTTAGTTAGGCCCAGTGACTGTAATGAATTAAACTGTTACAGATCAGTGATTTGACAGGCTTTAACTTCTTTTGGGGGGAGATGTTTCTTAATAGTTAGAAACTTGGGCTCTGGAGTTGGACTGTCTAGACTGAATTCTAGGTGTACCATTTCAGCTATACCCTTGACAAGTCCTTTGAGCTCTGATTTTTGTGTTTCTGAAAAATGAAGATAATCAGAGTACCTATCTCATGGACTGTTTTGAGAACTCAGTGGATTCATTTACTGATAAATTTATTCATAGATAGAAAGGCAGGTCAATGGAATTTCCTGACAGGTTAAATTTGACAAAGAAGGAGCAGTCAAGGACGATGAATTTGTAATCAGCTGAGGTGGAAAAGGTGCTTATAGAGCAGATGATGGAAGGCCAGTAGATCAGTTTTGGACATTTTGATATGCAGTGGAGATGCTAGAAAATGAATGAAATGTCCCTGTTTTTTATTGATCATACAATGTAGAGTCAGACTTGTGTGTAAAACATTTCATTTGCATTTCCAAGTGGTAAGTTACTGTGTTTGGACAAGAATATGTATCAAATATTTAAAGAATTACTAGAAAATGATTTTTAAAGATAATTTACTCCTCATGTGTTAATCTTTCATAATTTCAGTAATCTCATCCCAAGTTGTCTCCCAGTTGTATCATCTGACCTCTCTCCTTCAGTCTTGCTCTGGTTTATACAAGCTTTATCTTCCAACATGGTCTCTTGCCGTCTTCCTAAATCAGGGATCAGATTTTTGTACTAGTCAGTTTACAGTATTTGCTTTGGGGTGAAGTAGAAGCCCAAATATTCCTGTTACCCAGAGTAATCTACCCTAGAAGCATAAGAGAAAAAACATGATAAGGATGAAGATAAATGAACCTCTAAGACATTAAGCCTGAATGTGTTGTGGGTGCAATTGGAGTGCTTGTTCCCACTTCATGTTTTGATTGGTTAGAGAAGTGTAGGGGGAGGGGCACCTTTGGGAAAATGCAGGCATCCGCACAATCCTATGTAAGGCTTTTGCTGCACTCAAAGCCAGATGGATCAAAGAAATAGACTCATGCATTCAATTTCTACTCTTTCCCCACTATGAAAGGAAGAGCTCTTAACTTGAGATTTATAGAACATTACATGTAAATGTGTATGTGTGTGTGTGATTTTTTTTCCCCTGAGTCCATAGAGTGCATGAGACTGTAAGATACCAGTGACTGAAGAAGTTTAAGAAACACTGTTAAAAGAGTTAATAGTTTTTCATTAAGATAAGCTATGTAAATAAACCTGTCTTTTACCTTTTTGTATTTGGTTTTAAGTCCTACAGACAATTCCTCTCAGTAGACATTTCAAAAGGATGGAGGAGGTACTTTGATAATAAATGTTTAGAGGTGGGGTCGCCAACAATTGGAACAGCTTTTCACATTAAGAAAGTGATTTGTTGTTTTAAGAGAGGGCACGGAGTCTTTACTGATGTTCAATTTCTGATCACATAAATAAATACAGATTTGCACCAAGACTATGCCGGTGAAAAAAAGAAGCATTTGTCTGCTAAATGTCGTTCTCAGTTAAACCAATCACTGCGCCCTCGGAGTGACAAACAATGATCAGCAATGAAGGAAGAAAGAAATCACACTTCCTTCTAATACCTGTTAGGAGTGTTCTTCCAAGTGAGTCCGAGAAGAACGGGCTACCCATCGTGGTTTTTCTCTTTACTACTCGCCTTCTTGCCTTTTTTTATAGTTCCAATAGCTTATACAATTTTCATATGAAGAGGGGGCCAAATAAGGATCTGAATCAAAGGCTAGTTGTAGTTACAGATATGGCATTAGAAGGGTTGTGTCTCAATCTGGATAGGAGATTGGATACTTCAAGAATATGGAGTAATGATGGTATAAAAGACATCCCATTACAGAGGGTTTGTTAGAGGATCCTCATGAAGTATGAGTCCAGCTGGACCACCATGAAGAAGATCCACAAGCAACCATTTTCCAGAAAGCTAATTAGAAATGTAACAAAATGTTTGCTGGTCCGATAGAGCCTGGTGGAACCACTGAGACTATGGCCTCTAGCTGTCCTTCAGGTCTGGAATTGAACCCACACCCGTGGTTTTCAGTCAAACAAGACAGGCATATGAGTTGAACATTCACCTCAGGTAGATAGATACACTCCTTGGAGAGAACAATCATGGGAGAAAGAAGGGCTGCTTACGCACAGGGAGACAGCTCAGGGGGCAGGAGTACATGGAGGGATGGACACTGGGAAGGGGTAACTATGGGGAGGAAGTGGGAGAGGAGCTGTTGCATTGTGGTAAACTGTGGTCAATGTCATGAGGCAAAGTGTATGTGAACTGCTGTATGGAAAGTGAATCTGCTCTGTAAATCCTCACCCCCACCCCCCAAAAAAAGAAATGTAACAAAACCAGAACATCTGCTGTACAATTCATTTTTTTAAAATGAAGAAATATGAGTAACAACTGTACAAATTACAAAGTCCAAAGTGGTGGTGTAAATACATTGCAAGACACACATGCAGGTAGTGACTTGGATGGAAATCACTCAATGCTACAAAAATACATATAAACAAAATAATTTCCTTTGGTAAATCTATAAGATATAATATTAGGAGTATTTACATAATTTTGTACTTGATATGTGAAAAATAATACCATGCTAGAACAATCTCATTCCAAATTTTGAAACATAATTCTGTGAAATAAAAATATTCTTCATAAAACATGAACGTATCAACAACTTTCTGGGGACAAAGTTGTTCTTTATATAGTGGGCAGATGAAGATCTCTGAGTTATATTTTGATTAAAATTTCGTTTCAACTGGTATCTGGAAGAAGACAAAGTTAAAAGTTAAAAGTTAAAAAAGTTGTTAGGTGTATCTTTCAATAATCATTTTATATTTAGAAAGGGTGTATATGGCTAGTCTGATAGGAATTGGGAGCCACAATTTACCAGAGTCAACAAATATTTTGTCTTTAACAATCAAGTATCTTCTATTGCCACTTGGTTAACTTACATCCATGTGATACCATATTGTAGCTTCAGTGTGTCTTCCAATGCTCTATTTAACAATCAAAATAACAATATATGCTATTGTAGCAATTTATTTCTTCACATTGGTTTCAGGGGCCACATGAGAAACTCCAGGGCTTTGTGTGCTGGCCAAGTGCTTCTGACATTCAGTTTGCCTGAATCACCACAAGTGGCCTATTCACAAATGCTCCTTTATCTTCCTCTAAATTAGCCAAAAGGAGCTCTGGTGGCGCAGTGGCGCAGTGCCTAAGGCATTTGACTACTAACCAGAAGGTTGGCGGTTCAAACCCACCAGCCACTCCACAGAAGCAAGACTGGGCATAAAGATTTACCATCTTAGAAACCCAAAGGGAGTCACTCTGAGTCGGAATTGACTTGATGGCAGTGAGTTTGTTTTTTTTTTTAAGTTAGCCAAACAGCTGTTAAAATTTCCTTTTTCTTTCTTTCTTTAACAAAAGATAAAAGATAGGGAAACTGAGATACAGGCTAATGCTGACTTCAAATTCTGTTAGACAACTGCTTGTAAGCTCCATTTGGAAACCAGATACGATGCTGTTCCTCTGCTTTGTCTCCTAAAATGTTTTTTTGAAAAACTTTTTTATTGTGATTTAGATGAAAGTTTACAGAGCAAATTGATCTTGCATGAAACGATGCATACGCATATTTTTGACATTGATTGCAATCCCCACAATGTAACAACACTCTTCCCATGTCTTCCCTGTGTTTACCATTTCTGTTCATCTTTTCCTATCCCTTCCTGCCTTCTGAGCAAATGCTGCCCTTTTGAACTCTTATGGTTGATTAATTGTCCGAAGAAGTAGGTACTCTTTGGTGTTATTGTTCACCCAATAGATGTGTCTATTTGGCTGAAAGTTGAGCCATGGGGATGGGTTCAGTTCTAGACTTGAAAGGTGTCTAAGGGCCATAGTCTCAGGGGTTCCACCAGTCTTTTTTTTTTTTTTTTTTAATGGTTTTGAGTTTTGTTCCACATTTTTATCCCACTCTACCCAGGTCCTCCTATTGTGATCCTTTTCAGAACAGTCAGCAGTGGTAGCTGGGTACCATCTAGTGTTTCTGGTCTCAGGATCATGGAAGCTGGAATTTGCATGGTTCATTAGTTCTTTGGACTAATTGTTTCCATGTATCTTTGATTTTCTTCACTCTTCTCTGCTCCGGTTGGGGAGAGACCAATAGTTGCAACTTAGATGGCTGTTCACAAGCTTTTAAGACCCTAGATGCTACTCACCGCAATAGGATGTAAATTTATCCCCTAAAACTTGATGATAATTCTGAACCCAACTACTGGGGAGAAGTTTCTGGTTTGAAGTTCTTGTAGGGTGCGCAGGCAAAATGGAGAGTTGACTATTTCTGGAAGCCTGTCGTGGGAAACAATGTGGCTCATGTAGGCTCTCCTTTCTCCACAGGCTTGTTTAACTTTTTAGAATGTCTTTTTTTTTTTTTAAATCTAAACTTTTCCATTTGATAACACTCTTGATAATTGTCTGGGGTTATGGTATGCATTTCTTCATTTATAATTGAAATTCCTTTTGCTATTCTTACTAGACCTTTCTTCAGCTGAGAGAGAAGTGCCATCAGCCACCTCCCATACTAGGATACAATCATTAGATTATTTTCAGGACCCTCAATTCCATTAGTTTTTCAGCATAGAGGTGATGTAGTATAGTGAACAGAGCATAGGTCTTTGTGACAGACAGGTCTTGGTTCAAATCCTACTGCTGTTAACTTGGTGTCTGATCTTAAGCCAGTCAATTACTCTGTGAACTTGTTTCTTAGTTCTCCTACTTGTAAAATGAAGATATTGTCTTTGCATATTGTTGTAAATATTAAAAGGTGAATGTAATGCAACTACCACATAGCTGGTCTAGAGCAGATACCCATTTTGATTTGTGATCCTGCTTTTTCCAAACAAGAAACATTGCCTTAAAAGGTAGACTATTCTAGAAGTGAATGTTAATGATGACTTGGCAACTCATTCTAGAGGGCAGGGAAGGAACTTAACTTTCTTACTGGGCTAGGCATTGTGCTAAGGACTTCCCATGTACCTGGGACTTGGGAGATGTATGTTAGCCTCTCAGCTCCATCTCCAATTCATCTGTGAATGGAAACATGAGTCCCTTCTTTGCTTCATGGGTAATTACATGGGCAGAAAAGATGATGGTTTTCAGTAGTTTTGAAAAACAGAAAGTTCTATATACATGTTCAGTACTGCATTAACAGAGATACAGTATCATTATTTCCACCCTTTTAGTATTAGTCTGAGTTTATTTCCCTCTATGAGATTGGTTGGCATGACTTCACTTTTCAGGGATAGGCAACAGTAGCTCAAATGAGCACTGGGCTTTCTGTAGCATGTTGGAAGAGACCTCACTACTTCAAGCTTTTTTTGTTCCGGTGTCTGGGTAAAGAGTGTTGATGAATATTACCTGACATTCCCGATTACGTAATCCTCCATTTGTATTTATGGTAAAGTCTTGTTTCATTTCTTTCTCCTGAGAGAAACAGAATGAAATTGTGGATTAGGGACTTTTTTTTTTTTTTTTAATGTTGAAAGATGAAGGGAATTTTAAGAGGTGCAGATGACTGATTGTACAAATGTGCAATTCGTCAAAGAGCAGGTACCTGACTGGGGCTAAACTTTGAAGTACTGTCATCCTTCTTCATCAAAATATGCAAAACAGCATCATGGATTGTTAAGAAAAATATTGAGTCATTAACTTCATCATCAAAAAATTCACACCGAGAAAGCTTCTCAAGTAAATCATCTGAAGAGAAAAAAGATTCACAGTTAGGAAGAAGTAACTCTTTGGCCACAGATTTCTCTGTGAGGCTCATGATTGGAACTTCTGTTTGCAAATGTGTATCTTGTTGTTTGTCGATGGGTTGCAGTGTATCATTAGTGCAGTGTCTTCTGGAATGAAAGGATATCTTTCTAATACAAATACAGATTTAATGCCCATTAAAAAGAAGAAGGAAAAACAAGAAAAACCTTTGTAGCCCCTGGAAGAAAACCAAACCATTTCCCTTAAGGCAGGAACCTGATGTGTTAATCTCCCTACTTATTAAATTGAAGCTTTAGTTTGGCATATAAAAAAGTGGGATTCTGCCCAAATAGAAAAGATGTGAATGGACCAGAGAAACACTCTGCTTCTTAATCGTTGGACCTGTTATTTGCCAGTTACATACTGGTAGCCTATTTTCCCAAAACGTCCAGGTTCCGTCAGAACGCATCTTTCTTTGCACCTCACGTTACCTTTCCAATCGTCTTTGAGGAATCTCAAGCACTACCTAGCACTTGCACAGATCACTCAACCAAATACTACTTTGTGTCTGCTATCTTGTAAATCCCTGGCTGGTTAATATAAAGAATCAAAAGATAAATTACACACGAATCTTGCCCTTGAGAAAAGTAGGATATGTATAGATCACTATAGTTGTTATGTGCCATCGAGTTGTCTCTGACTCATACCAAAAAAAACTGAACTCACTGCCACAGAGTCGTGCCCAACTCATAGTGACTCCTCCTTGGGTTTCTGAGGCAGTATCTCTATGGAAGTAGAGTGCCCAGTCTTCCTTCTGAGGTCCTGTGCCAGCCTCATGATCCCTGCTTTACCTGAGCCCGTCACTGCAGCCATCATGCCAATCATCTTGTTGAGGCCTTCCCCTCTTTCATTGACCCTCCATTTTACTAAGCATGACATTCTTCTCCAGAGAGTGGTCCCTTCTGACAACATGACCAAAGTAGGTGAGACAAAGTCTGGCCATTCTCGCCATAATGCTCCAAGAACATTATGGCTGCACTTCTTTCAGGATAGATATGTTAGTTCTTTTAGCAGTCCACGGTACTTTCAGCATTCTTCATCAATACCACAACACAAAAGCATCAACTCTTCTTTGATCTTCCTTGTGCACTGTCCAGCCCTCATATGCATAAGAGGCAACTGAAAATAACATGGCTTGGGATAGGCACATCTTACTCTTCAAGGAAATATCTTTGCTCTTCATCAGTTGGAAGAGATTTTTAGCAAGAGATTTGTCCAATACAATACATCTTTTGATGTCTTGACTGCTGCTTTCATTGGCGTTGATTCTAGAACCAAGTAATATGAAGTCTTTGATAACTTCAATCTTTTCTCCATTCATCGTGATGCTGATTATTGGTCCAGTTGTGAAGATTTTTGTTTTCTTTATATTGAGGTGTAATCCATACTGCAGACTGTAGTCTTTAATCTTCATCAGTAAATGCTTCAAGTCATCCTCACTTTCAGCAAGCAAAGTTGTGTCTTCTGTGTATCTCAGGTTGTTAATGAGCCTTCCTCCAATCCTGATGCCACGTTTTTCTTCATATAGTCCAGCTTCTTAGATTATTTGCTCAGCATACAGATGGAACAAGTATGGTAAAAGGATACAACCCTGACGCACTCCCTTCTTGATTTTAAACCATGCAGTATCACTATATACTAAAAGGAAAAGTATATAATAATGAAAGCAGGGCCAATCTTTTTTTCTTAATTTTTAAATAATGCCCAGAATATAATAGAGTCTCTCACTTTGTTGAACAAATAAGAGAAGTACAGATCACATGCTGTAGAAATTCTGAGAAAGCTGGTAAATATTGTTAGTTCCTGTTGGTGGGTATCAGGGAAAACTTAACAAAGCAGCCATCATTCACAAGAACGACTAGGATTTGGAGGAAAAGAAGTTGGGAAAGCATGAAGGTGGGAAAGTGTGTTCACAGGTAGGTGTCTAAACATTGATAGGACTTAGCAGTGAGAGGGATGCAGAGAGAGGAGGGCATTGTGGCCACCAGAGGCCAGGGTAGAGGTGGTGATCTCAGTTAAAAGACTGAGAAGGGATGTCAGGCAGCAAAAATGGCAGGAACTGACATTTTTCAGACCTGGGACAATAGGGTAAAATTTCTTAGGAGATTTTTTAAGGGATTAGGATCCCTGGGTGGTGCAAATGGTTAAGTGCTCAGCTAGCCAAAAGATTGGCGGTTTGAATGCACCCAGGGACACCTCAAAAGACAGGCCTGTCAATCTGATTCCGAAAGGCCATAGCCCTGAAAACCCTGTGGAGCAGAGTTCTACTCTGCAGTGCGTGGGGGAGTCACCATGAGTCTGAACTGACTCTGTGCAGGTAACAACAACAGGATCAAGAGACTATTTTCAATTATGAGGAAGCCTTGAAGCTAGAATTTATCTGTAGGCTTAAGAGTAGGAGCCAGTGGACAGGGAAAGATTAAAGATGCCAATTTCATGCCTCCTTCGAAATCTGTTCACTTGCCATCCCCTCTCCCTCAAAAGGCTCACCCCTTCCTAAGATACTGTCAAGGCTGACCCCCTCCCACGATTCTACTCTGCTCCAATGTCACATCACTGGGCATCCCTGACAGCCCGTCTAAAATAATACTGTTGCTCTTGGTCTCTTAACTCTGTTGTTTTCTTCACAGCATTTATCACTACCCAAAAGTATGTTTTTTTATTTGTTTATTACATGGCCTTCCTGCTTTCTGCTATCATGAAGTTAGGGGCCTGTCTTAGGCACTTTTGTATCCCCAGCACCCAGGACAGTGCCTGACAGATGGTAGGTGCTCACTAAATCTTTGTTAAATAGTGTCTATCTTGTGCTAGGAACTAAGAGTTGTTGTTGTTACATGCCGTCGAGTCAGCCCCGACTCATAGCGACCCCTCCTTGGGTTTCCGAGGCAGAATCACTACGGAAGTAGGATTGCCCAACCTTCCTTCCAAGAGGAACTAGGAGACAGAGAACAAAAAGGTAAATAAGACCAGTACCTGCCCTGGAAGAGAGTATAGTCTCATGGGGCCACAAACACAGACCTGCAGAACATTGAGTATGCGTTCTGCAGAGGCAAAGACCTGCAGAGCACACGGCTCTGCCTGAGGAAGTCAGGAAGTTTCCACAGTTCTTAAAGGAGAAGTTTTCTAAGAAGTTTTCGAGTCAGAGTGGAAGAACATTCTAAGGATGAACAAAGACTCTCATTAGAAAGTTCTTCCGGAGGCCTAGGTAAAAAATGATGCAAGTTTGGGTTAAAGGAGAGGAAGATTCAAAAGGAACTATTTATAGGGCCTGGTGGCTCACTTATTGACTATATAGGGGAGGAGAGAGGGAGAAATTAAAATTGGTTCCAGGGTTTTTACTTTGGGCAACTGGTGATGCAGTGATTAAATAGGAAAAGAGGACAGTTTGGGAAGCAAAGAGCATGTATTTAGTTTGGAACATGTGTATCTGAGGTGCTTGGAGGACATCTATACAGTTGAATACATGGGTCTTCAGCCAAGAGAGGTCTGGACTAGATTCATTAACATAGATGTACTTGAACTCATAAACATGCAGGAGATTGACTAGACAGAGTCCAGGGAATTAGAGAAAGCATCCATGGAATTAAAACCACAGGGCTTCAGATTGAAGCTTGGGGAAGAGCAACTGGTAAGAGGTGAGGGAGGAGCTAATAACAGAAATTGAGGAGCTATTAGAGCAGTGGGAAGCTCTGGTAATGCTGTGCTTAAGGCATTGGGCTGCTAACCATGAGGTCAGCAGTTCAAATCCCCCAGCTGCTCTATAGAAGAAAGATGAAGCTGTCTGCTTGGTGAAAATTTACAGCCTTAGAAACCCTATGGGGGTTGCTATGGGTCAGAATTGACTCAATGGCAGTGGGTTATTAGAGTGATAGGAGTTAAGTCAGAAGAGCATGGTCTTGCAAAAGTCAGGGAAGGACATGATGAGACTGGTAATGAACTCCATGGTGGAATCTGCTGTAAGCAGCTGAGTAAGCTGCCTTAGGGATGTGGTCTGCTTCTTGTATATAAACAGCAGCTTTGAGAAGGGTCTCTGAGCTTCTTGGCACATCTGGACCCTGCATGTAGCCAAGTCTTCATTCAGCAGCCTGTCATGTTGCCTGCCAATCTAGGGATTGTTTCTGGACTTGAACTAGTGGCCTGCTATGTTGCTTAAAAATCTTGGGGCTGTGCTGTTTTGCTTGTTGACCTTGGGTTTGTCAGCCTTAGAAGCCAGCAGCTGCCTGAGTGAAGAGAAGCCTCCAGCTTCAGTGGGCCAGGAGCAAGAGGCAGAGCCGAAGTCCAAAGTCAAGGGACCTTCACCCAGCCTCTAGAGCTGGCACTTTGAACTCGGACTTCTAGCCTCCTAAACTATAAGAGAATAAATCTCTGGTAAAATGAAAAAAAGAAAAAAAAAAGTCAGGGAAGGAGAGAGCTTCAAAGACAAATGCTAAGGAAATCTCCAATGGCATGAGGTTGGAACGGATGTAGTTGATTTTGGCAATCTGGACATCACAGATGACCTTGGCAAGGTCAGCCTCATCAACAAGGTGAAGCAGAAACTAGGCTATTAAAAGCTGAGGAGTACATGAGAGATGAGGAAGAGTGACAGGAAATAAGCCTATTTTCCCAGGAAGTTTAGAGTAAAAAAGTGGTTATGTGTTCACTTTTTTTTGTTGCCTATTAGATATGGAAACAACTTTTAAAGTTAATTTACTTATGTCTCAATACAACTAAAATATAAAGATGCTATTTATATTAAAGATTATTATAGGCTCAGTTATCAGTTACATTTCCTTTTTGATGACCATATAAAATTCTTGTTCTTTTGAGGTTGTCTATATTGTGAATTAACTGTGAGCTGGAGGTGATTGTCAGAACATAAATAAAACAGCTTACCATCAGTTCCCACAATATACACATCCACTTGGATCCTGATGAATTCTTGCAAAATCTGTTAAAGAGGAAGTATATCTTCCTTAGGAAATAGTTTTACATGTCAGAAACATAAACTGTTATAGTTTATGGGTGATGTTGCTTTCAGAAGCCTTTCACATTTTTGAGAAGGTAATAATACAGAGGTACCAGTCTTCAAAAGAAGGAGCTATGACGGATGGAAAGTAACCCAAAGAAAAGAGCCTTCTTCAGTAAAAAGTTAAAATGCTCATTCTTGAGGGAAGTATTATGGAAAAATGTTCTACCTCAAACTCCCCAAATCAACTCTGATTTAATTTTAAAATTGGATCTTCTACAGGATGATCTAGACTAGAGATTTCTATTTACACAAAAATCAAAAAACAAAAAAACCAATGGCTCATGAATTGTTCATTATTTCCATCCACGGTGACCAGAGACATCTAGCACCAATGTCGCTTTATCCCTCTTCCTGGTCTCTAGGCTCAGAGGAAATACCAGTAATGGTGTGAGGAAGGTCACAAAAGGTACGAAAAGTAGCTCGTGCTGGGGATCAATTTAGATTATCATTATCATCATCAGTAAACTTATAGAGCCTCTACTAGGCACTGAGCTAAGGAGTGAGGCTTTAAAGAAACCTCGGTCAGGGTCCTGATCCTTCGTGCTGAGACCGAAAAATAAGGATGTGCGTGCACATGTATGTGTGCATTGTTCCCTCCTCAGCTCAAATAAATAAACCAAAAAAGAAAAAGTTAGCAGCTTTGAGAGTTATGTGATATCAATAGAACTTTAAGAGAACTTAATCCCGTTTTCCAATTTTGTATCCTGTCACCCACTTAAGAACTTAATAGTTCTTAGCTGAGCTCTTCCAAAGGTAGATTTCTGTGAACCCCCAAAAAAGGAGAAATGTAGAATTTCTGAAATGTTCTTTATATCTGTTTCTGTATTTGTGTTAGAGATTGTTTTAGGAATGCTGACAAACTATGGGGAGAAAAAAACCAGATTTCAACCTGATGGTTCCGACCCTGTTTATAAATCACATAACACATTGATTCTTTTATATATAGGCTTGGCCTTGTTTTTTTTTTTTTTTTTTTTTTTTTGAGACAGATTGTTCAATAGCCAAGTGAAATGTCATCTGCTCATAATGTTGTTGTTGTTGTTGTTTGCCGTCAAGTCGGCCCCGACTCATAGCGACCCCTCCTTGGGTTTCCAAGGCAGTATCACTGCAGAAGTAGGATTGCCCAACCTTCCTTCCGAGGAGTGGCTGGTGGGTTTGAACCGCCAGCCTTCTGGTGAGCAGTCAAGTGCCTTAGGCACTATGCTACCAGAGCTCCTTCTGCTCATAATAGATGAATGTAAAATCTACTCTACTTTTGCCCAGAACCTTTCTCAATACTTTCTTGTTTAGATACAATGTCCAAAGAATTTGAAGACACCACGGAACTGAAATTTGATAGGAGTATGACTGCAGTTGTCCACCAGCAGGTTCAGCATCTGTTAGGATTATAGTTGTGGTTGCCTTCAAATTACATGCAGTCTTATGGGAAATTCACTTGTAAAGAGTTCATTAAATACCCTCTATTCTCCCTGACCCTTCCCTTCCCCTGCCCACCATGGAATGTCCTGGGATTATAATTTCCTTCAAATTAAGTTTATATTATCTAAAGGAGCAGTCTTCCACAATAAATTTTTTTAAAAAAAACTTTAAATCCCTGACTATTTTTTTTTCCATTAAGAAAAAAAGAAATTACCGTTTTGAGACCCCTCATTGAAGAGATATCAAGAAATGACACTGCTGAAAAATCGAGAATGAGGCTGTGGACGCTGACTTTGGGGACCATTATATTGAGAGGAAGATCACCGTTCCAGTCTATGTGGAAGGGCAGGTCTGTGGCATTGATTGGCCGATCCAGTTCTTCTATTTGATTATTGTCCAGCTCCTCCTCAGAGTCTTTTATGTCATTAACAGTACATATCAATCCTTTCTATAGGAGAGGATAGAAAGCATGATAACTCTGTCCAAGAAAACATTGTGTACATCACAGTGAGTTTCTGAAACACAGATTCAAATTTAGGTCAAGTAGTGGAATTGTAGACACTTTTCTTTGGTACTTTTTCCAAGAGAATAAACATTTTAAGGAGTCCCTCAAGGGCACCATTTCAAAATACTGATATTAAATGACACAAAACCAAAACCAAACTCACTGCCATCGAATTGGTTCTGACTCATAGTGACCCAATAGGATAGAGAGGCTGGTGGGTTTGAACTGCTGACCTCTTGGTTAGCAACTTTAACCACAATGCCACCATAGCTCCTAGGGTGTTGCATCCCACCATGATAACAACCTATTGACCGATCACAATGGGGGCTGATTACATTGTTACATAACTGCCAAACCACTGAGAATCATGGCCCAGCCAAGCTAACATTTTTTGGGGACACAATTCAATCCATGACAAGGAGATGTCAAGTAGACAATTGGAGGTAAACGTTTACATCAGAGGAAAGTTACGGGCTGAAAATATGTATTTGAGAGTTGATACCTACAGTCTGCAGTATGGATTACACCTCAAAGAAAGAAAAAAATCCTCACGACTGGGCCAATAAGCAGCATCACATTAAGTGGAGAAAAGATTGAAGTTTTCAAAGATTTCATGTTACTTGGCTCCACAGTCATCAGTGGAACAGCAGTCAAGAAATCAAACATCATATTGCATGGGGCAAATCTGCAAAAGGCCTCTTTAAAGTGCTGAAGAGCAAAGAGGTATCTTTGAAGACTAAGCTGTGCCACACTGAAGCCATGGTATTTTCAGTGGCCCCTCATATGCATGTGAGAGCTGTACAGTGAATGAGGAAGACTAAAGAAGAGTTGATGCTTTAGAGTTGTGGTGCTGGCGAAGAACACTGAAAGTACCATGGACTGCCAGAAGAACTAACAAATCTGTCTTGGAAGAAGTGCAGCCAGAATGCTCCTTGGAAGTGAGAATGGCCAGACTTCGTCTTGCCTACTTTGGTCATCTTGTCAGAAGGGACCATTCCCTGGAGAAGGATACCATGCTTGGTATAAGTGGAGGGTCAGCAAAAAAGGAGAAGACCCTCAACGAGATAGATTGACAGCAGTGGCTGCAGCAGTGGGCTCAGGTAGAGCAAGAATCGTGAGGATGGCACAGGACCATGCAGTGTTTTGTTCTGCTGTACATAGGGTCGCTTTGAGTTAGAGCCGACCTGACAGCACCTAACAACAACAGGAGCACCTTCTTGGTGAGCCCTGATGGTGCATTGGTTAAAGCATTTGGCTGCTAACCAAAAGGTTGGTAGTTCCAACCCACCAGCTGCTCCATGGGAGGAAGATGGGGCAGTCTGCTTCTGTTAAGATTTACAGATTTGGGAACTATGCAGTTCTACTTTGTCCAATAGGATGATTATGGGTTGGCATCAACTCACCAGCACTGAGTAATATTTTAAGGCATGGGGAAGCATGAGCTCACTCAAGGAGAGACCATGTGAACTGCCCCATAGGGTTTCCAAGACTATAATCTTTTCAGAAGCAGACTGTTTCATCTTTCTCCCACAGAGTGGCTGGTGGATTCTAACTGCCAACTTTTTGGTTAGCAGCCAAATGGTTTAACCATTATGCCACCAGAGCTTGAAATAACATAAGATGCTTATTTAGCTGGTATTTCATTTAAAAGAAAGAACTAAAACTTTGAGCTATATTTCACTAAGCTCTTAGTCATAATGCACAGAAATGTAACCAAGAAACTTACTGGTGTTGCTTGTAACAGGCCTTTTTTCTGCAGCTTTCGGATTTTCTTCAAAGCTTTATTGCGCTTGCGTAGAATTCGAAGAGGACTAAAGCCAACCTGAAAAGCCCATTTCTGTGTTACAAGAGTACTGAGTATTCTGCTACTTATTATAGTATAATTCTAATAACTTTAACTGGGATGGCTTAAGGAATTAAGAAAAATAATCAAGATATTTGTGATAAAATTTAAAAGTGGTTTAAATGACAAAATTGTATCCAAACTGTGGTCTGCTTGGCTTGTATGTGGTAATAATGCTAAAACTCTTGCATAGTCTAAGATTGATACATAAACCATCCATATATGTATCTAGACTCTATTGAAATCTGCTTGCATTTTTGGCCTACACAAGTCTTAGGAAATTTTATTTTATTTATTTTCTATTTACTGAATAAAGGTGGCATCTAGTTAGTATTCTGCTCTTGTATAATTTTTATTACATTAAAATTATATGATTTTATTTTATAATATTTATTATTGTATGCTTTTATTTTATGATTTTAATACTTGGGAGCACTAAAAGTACTAGGGAGTAACTCTCATTTTCCCTTTTTCAAAACAAATGTGTTCTTATCAATGCAATATTTCACTCCACAATAATAAGTAAGGAGGATCAAATTATGTATTAAAAAAAAAATCCTTAACAAAAAAATGTAGTTAGATGGAAAAATACTAGATTAAGTAAAAAGGGCAGTATATAAAGTCACTTATTCAATATGATCCCATTTGTAAAAAGTTGTCTCAGGCCAGGGAGCAAAGTGCATAGAAGAAAAATATCTGATGCCTATCAAAGTAATCATAATAGTTAAGGTTTAAGACAAAAGCTCTATGCCAGGTACAAAGCAGTCCAAAAGGTGTGTTTCTAGAATCAGTGCCCAGCTTTTGTTTCTTAACCCTGAAAACTGTTTCCTTGTTCTTTCCAGTTCTTTAAGGGTGCTCCGTATTTGTAGTTACTTGGTGTTAAATACTCATTTATAACCATTGGTCCTGAATCTCTTCAAGTATTAAATGCTCCTTTGCTGTTTCTGAAGTTAGTGCCCAAAGATAATCTGTAGGATACTATCTGTAAAAACCCACATCCCAAATTTTGTTAATATCTTTACAGCAAAATTTGGTCAAAAGCTGACTTTATCTTGGACCTCACAGAAAAATGCTTATTACCTACATATTAACAGACTCTTTCTAAGTTAGTCTGACCTGCTTGGGACATGAAATACAAAAGCACTGACAAAATCCAGCCCTACATGTATGAAATCAGTGATCCTCTTGTTAAAGAACCAAAACTTCCTTTCCAGATGTTTAGTAGACTATCACACAGAGAGAGACACACTTATACACATTAAACAGCCCCAAACCTTACAGCATCGGTAAGTTTCTGCTTAAAGAAACCAATATTTGCAAAATAGATAGGAGATGGACATCTGAAGATTTTCACACCTTCTGGCTCATACATCTACAAGGTAGAAAAAAGTAAGATTAGATATTTGTCCATTAAACTCATATTAACATCATTTAGCAAGTCAAAGAAAAAATACTCTTCCTTACGTCATTGTAATCTTTTTTATTCTTATAGATGTTGCTCCTTCCAATATTAGCCAGTGTGCTGCATTTTGGACTGTAGGGAAAATCAATACCAAATGAATCATTCAGAGATATTCATTAGGCTTGTAAGGCTACAACACTGATTTTTTTCCTCGCATACCAAAGCAGTCTCACTCTTCAAAATCTGGAAGGTTGGGGAATCATGCCTTTAGAGAGCCTAGAACAAAAGCACCTTATTCTATTTATCTTTGCATTCTCCCACACAGCTCCTAACACGGTGCTTTGCACCCACTGTGTCACTGTTTACAAAACTGTTCCATATGCTTTTGCCATTTTGGTTCTGAACATCACAGCTATTTGGTGAGGGAAGGCAGATGCTATTTCATGGATGAGGACAGGGAGAAGAAAAATGTCTTGCCTCTGACCACTCAGTTTGTCTTACTGCTTCATACATTGGTCCCCAGTAGAGAAATGAGTGCAAATATGAATGACTAAAAAAGGAAGAGAACATTTTAATGCAAATCTGTCAGTCAAGGATTAGCTTTAACTTTGATAAAAATACCTTCTGTTCTCGAATTGTTTAGTTCCCAAGGAGCTTTATTTCTCTGACATACCATGTAACCAACATAGGCTGAGTGACCACATGGTGGTGATATTACAACAGAGATTTAAGTATAAAATGATGCTTGGACTAGATGACTGTTAAGAATCACAACTTCTAAGTGGCTTTTGTGGATTTTTTTTTTAATCCCCCGCCTGTCAATTTGTTTTGTGGTGGTTTGTATGTTGCTATGGTGTTGGAAGGTGTGCCACTGATATTTCAAATACCAGCAGGGTCATCCATGGTGGACAGGTTTTGACTGTTTCTAGAATAAGACAGACTAAGAGGAAAGGCCCTGTGATATACTTTTGAAAATGAGGCATTGAAAACCCTACGAATCACAACAAAACCTTGTCCTACTTGCTTGCTTTTGATACATCAGCAGGAGTGATCAACCATTAGAGGAGGACTTCATGTTTGGCAAAGCAGAGGGCCAATGAGGGAGAGGGAGACACCTGGTGAGATATATTGGCACCGTAACCACAATGATGAACTTGAACATGCTGGTAATTGTGAGGTTGAGGCAGGACAACGTTTTGTTCTGCTGTACATACAGTTGTCAGGACTTGGAGCTGACTCAACAGCAGCCATCTATCTATCTTGTTTGTCTATCTGTCTCTCTGTCTGTCTACCCATGCATCTGCCCATCCATTCATCTGCCTATCTGTCCATTTGTCTATCTATCTATCATCTCTGTTTGTGGATTTTTAGGAAGAGTGGGCTTTGAGAAGTTCTTTACTCCAGCTCCATGCTTTTGAGGTGGGAATACAATCTTCTTATAAATAGAATAGGAGCTCTGGTAGCATAGTGCCTAAGGCACTTGACTGCTAACCAGAAGGCTGGTGGTTCAAACCCACCAGCCACTCCTTGGAAGAAAGTTTGGGCAATCTACTTCCGTAGTGATACTGCCTCGGAAACCCAAGGATGGGTCACTGTAAGTAGGGTCTGACTCGATGGCAAACAACAACAGTATAAATAGAATACTAGACATGGAGAGTCCCACACTTAGTAACACATTTCTCATGTTTAACAAATCAAAGACAAAGGCATTAAACCCTCTTAGAATATAATTACTTCTAGTTTATAGCTGAGCAAACAGACTCAGATTTATATTTCTTTGAACTGGTGTCAAAGCAGGGAGCAGACCAACCGTGGGTCTGCTAACTGGTCAGATTTTCTAAAGCAGGGTCATTCTATTACTCTTCAGGTCTTGAGGTAACAGAGGAAGAATATACTGGCCAATCTTAATGGATATGCATGCTTATCAACAAAATTAGTTTTCCTGTAACCAGTGACAAATTTTTTTTTCTCTTGATTTGGGCAAGTCAAAGCCTGTAAGGAAGCGGAGCACAGTGAGCACTCACAATTGAGTCCGGAACACAATGGTTAGGAGCTGAAATGCAACGCTGGCGGCCAGGCCTAAGCCAAGTCCCAGGACAATGGCACAGATGAAGGTCACGATCCAAATGAACTAAAAAGAAAGCGACATGTACACTACAATTTACTTTGATTAAAGGGTAATGTCTTAGGTTCAGAACTAGGAGAAAGCATGAACTTGTAGGCCCAAAACAGAGTTCAGAAGTTGAAATCTTGAGCCAAGGTGCAAAGTGCACAGGGGAAGGGACCTCAGGTTCTAAGTCACGGAAACACGAGCAAATATAAAATGATCCACAGAGTGTCTCCACTTCTAATCCTATCCCTGTTCCAATTAAAGAAGTGATTATGTCTGTGGCAGCTAGAATTCTAGAACTATTCAACAAATTAATTGGCAGACCATATACTAAGCTCTTTTATTTTTTTAAAAAAATTATTTAAATTTTCTTGTTGTTGAGAATATATACGGCAGAATGTACATCAATTCAACAATTTTTACACCTACAATTCAGGGACATTGATTACATTCTTCTAGTTGTACAACCCATTCTCACTCTCCTTTTCTTAGTTGTTCCCTAGAACTAAAAAAACCATAACCCACTGCCATCGATGTGATTCCAACTCATAGCAATCACCATTGGGTTTCCAAGGCTGTAAATCTTTATGGAAGTGGATTTCCTCATCTTCCTCCCTCATAGCAGCTGGTGAGCTTGAACCTCTGAACTTCTGATTAACAGCCAAATGTCTTACCCACTATGCCACCTTATTCTTGGTCTATTGGTCTGATGAATGGCTATTATCTCTATAATAGGAATCCTGGTGCACAGTGATTAAGTTTCAAGCTGCTATTAAAAAATTCGACACTTTGAACACACCAGTTGCTCCTTGGGGGAAAGATGTGGTGGTCGGCCTCAGTAAAAATTTACAGCCTTGGGAATGGCTATGGAGCAGTTCTATTCTGCCCTGTAAGGTGGCTATAAGTCAGAATCAACTCAACAGCAGTGGGTTTGGTTTGGGGTTTATCTATAAAGATTTTACATTCCCAAAGGAAAGAGACATCAGATAAGCAAAGTACTATTGAAGAAGAAGAACAAAGTAGGAGATCTCACACAGCCGGATCTCAAAACCTACAGCCACAGTAGTCAAAACTGCCTGGTATTGGTACAACCACAGACACATAGACCAATGGAATAGAATTGAGAACACAGAAATAGATCCATCGACCTATGTCAGTTGATCTTTGACAAAGGGCCAAAATCCATTAAATGGGGCAAGAGATTGTTTAACAAATGGTGCTGGCAAAACTGGATATCCATTTGTAGAAGAATGAAACAAGATCTATACTTCACACCATACACAAAAACTAACTCCAGATGGATCAAAGACTTAAATGTGAAACCTAAAACTATAAAGTTTCTCAAAGAAAAAATAGGGGCAAATTTAGGGGCCCCAATACATGGCATATATAGACTATCAAACATAACCAAAAATGCACAAATAGCAGAAGATAAACTAGATGAATGGGACCTTCTAAAAATTAAATTTTTATGTACTTCCAAAGACTTCTCCAAAAGAGTAAAAGAGAACCTACAGATTGGGAAAAATATTCGGCAATGACATATCTGACAAAGGACTTATCTCTAGAATTTATAGAAAACTCCAACACCTCAATAACAAAAAGACAATCCAATTTAAATATGGGCAGAAGACATGAATAGACACTTCACCAAAGAGGATATTCAAGCAGCCGACAAACATGTGAAGAAATGTTCACGATCAATAGCTATTAGAGAGATGCAAATCAAAACAACAATGAGATACCATCTTGCCCCAGCACTAGTAGCAAAGATCAACAAGACAGAAAATAATAAATGCTGATGAGAATGTGGAGAGATTGGGACTCTCATACACTGCTGGTGAGACTGTCAAATGACACAACCATTGTGGAAAGCAGTATGATGATTCCTTAAAAAGTTGGAATTAGAAATACCATTTGACCCAGCAATTCTATTACTAAGCATATATCCTAAAGAAGTGAGAGCCAGGACAAGAACAGATATATGCACATCCATGTTCATTGAAGCACTATTTACAACAGCAAAAAGATGGAAACAACTTAGGTGCCCATCAACAGAAGAACAGATAACCAAAATCTGGTACATACACATAATGGAATACTATGCAACACTAAAGATTAACATAGAATCTGTAAAACACCACATAACATGGATGAACTTGGAGGACATTACACTGAGTGAAATAAGTCAGTCACAGAAGGACAAATATAGTATTAGTTCATTATTGTAAAAAGTCAAGAAAAGGTTTATATATGGAAGGAAAAGTTCTTTGTTGATTAACAGGGGTGGGAGGGGAGGGAAGGGAACACTGCTAGATAGGTAGAGACAAGTATTGGTTTGGGTGAAGGGAAAGGCAGTGTACCAAATGTGAGTGATCAACACGGACAACAAAGATGAGCCCTTTTGCACATACAGGACTGTGTTGTCAGTGACGGCAAACATTGATCTAAGGGTGGATGGAAGATGGACAGGCTGGACAATCGGGTATGTCTAGGCAGGAGTGTGTGTGCCCATGACTATGCACAGGGTTGGCAAATGATGTTTCTACAAGTATATTTGCATGTTCTGTAAGAATTTCCAGGTATATAGTAAAGCTGACAAGGGACAAGTTTGTAATCACTTCTTGGCCACAGCCAGCTACCCGGAGGGAGCGAGTAGTTGGACCTGTGGGTTCACGACTATGGTTACAGGGGACATCAAGCTCAATGGGCACAACATACTACACAAAACCATTGTTCCACATCCTAGTTTGGTGAGTAGTGACTGAGATCTTAAAAGCTTGCAAGTGGCCATGTAGATGCAACAATGGGTCTCTCCTCATCCAGAGCAAAG